TACAAATTTTGGACGTTTCCTTATTTCAATAATTGCAATTACAATCACTCTAACGACGACACAAATCCCACATTCCACCGAACTCTCGAGATTCCAAGCAATAGAAAATGATTTCACGGAATTAGTCGTGCTAGCCAGATCGTTCCACTTCTTTCAATTGAACGTACACCCTCAGGACCTGGTAAGAGCAACGATTGTTGGTCCAGCAGTGCAACACCAGTTTGTTCACCCTCTGCCCCTCTTCTATTCTCTGCTGCATCCCACTGATGACACCATGGACCAGGGGTGGCAGAGTGTGTGTCGCGTGGCGACACGTTTCGCTGTTCTGAGTCACATGTCATTCCGTATGAATTACAACTCCATTAACGTTCAGGACAACCTGCGAGCATACATAATGCTGGCGAATTGAGCGGATCACCTCCTCAGCCAAGATGTTGATTTATAGGGAACGACGGAGGTACCCTGATACAAGGTTGAAGGGAGCCAATGCATCACAGAGTGATTGAATTTTTAATCTGTTACTTGGAAATCTTGCTTTGCCTTCCATTTGCCAGAGATGGGAGTTTCTTCTTTGTTTTTTGTTTTTTAAAGAAAACCAGAAATTTTCTTCATCTTCTTTTGTTTTTTTGCTTTAAAGTTATTTCTTCTCCTTTCTTTTTTTAGAATTTTCGTGATATTTGTTCACTGTTGCTAAATTGAAGAATAATGAAGAATTGAGTTTTTAATTTTCAGCTTGGGAATCTTGTTTTGAATTCTGATTTGAGACTGGTTGGAAACTGAAGAGTTCGCCATTCTTCTTGCTCTAAGTTCTCCTCTTTTTTCCATATTTTTGCTGGTTTCAGAGTTGCAAGAGATTTATTGCTCAAGTTTTTAGATTATTTATTGTTTCATATTGAACTGATTAGATTTTTGAAGGGAAGCGTAAAAGTTCTGCGAAATCTTGTGTTTCATTTTCACCTTTTCTTCCTTATCTTTGCTTCTTCCAAAACTTTAATGATACCTTGACGTAGTACGCAGAAATTCTACGATTTCCTTTCCTCTTCATTTCTATCGAATGCAGAAGTTTTTCGAAGAGAATTGTAAAAAATAAAGTTCTTTCCTTTTCTCTTCTTCTTTTATTAATTTAACCAGTTAATTAAACGATACAGATTACAAAGAATAAGAAATATCTTGCAAAGAGCAAGGAAAAAATCTCAAAAATAATTTGATTATACATAATTGTAGTTGAACATTGAAAGAAAATCTTGCAATGAAATATCTAAAATATCTAAAATGTAAAATATCTAATATAAATTTTATATAACTTATAGTAATTTTCATTTAGCTTCTGGTTTAATAAATGTAATTAATAAATCTAATAGATAGACAAAGTTCCAGATATCTTAAGATTGAACCTTAGGGTAGGAATAAGGGAAAACTCGAACTGACTACCCTTCATCAGGGAAAACCTCTCTAGAAATGGTGGTCGGCCCGCAATGCCACAAACTACTAGAAAATTGATAGTAACTTCACGTTTAATTATCATGCGTGCATAGTACACTCGTGCTTATGGTCTGCTGATAAGCGAAACAGAATTTCCAGTTGCACGTGCTAGATAGTTATAGTTCCTCGTTCCGCAACTTTTTACAATTATTAGAAATGTAAAAGCGCTTTTATCAAGTAATGAAATTACGTAAGAAATTGTAGAATAGCAAAATTAGAAACTTCAAGAATAGAAAAACTTAATTTCGTTACTATCGAGAAACAAAAAACCGGGTATTATAGAATTAGAGGAAAATTAAGAATTCTGTTTTCACAATAAGTGGATTAAAGCGTTCCAGCTCCTCCGTTAATAATAGAATAACGAAATTTTAGTTACTGGCAATGCAAGAATTATAAAATTAGAAATTCTGTTGATAATAGAATCGATAATGAAATTACTGATAACAGAATAATTAATTTTTGGTTATTGACATTAATAAAATAAATTACCAAGTTACCAAGGTAAAAATCCCGTTTCCGCGAGGAATACGTTAAAACGTTCCACAAGTTCTCCTCGTTAACAATAAAGGAACCGATATTTAGTCATTGTTATCAATAAACTGATGGAACGGACATTACAAAATTATAACATTGGGAAACCTATAAATATATTAAAATATTCTAAAGTATTCTCTTTGCGTGCAATATTAAATTCCTACATAAAAAGAGTTGAATTGCGAAATTTAGTTAGTAAGAAACGTATCAAAATAGCCGAACAATTAAGTTTTTTTTTTGTTATTAAAACTATTTTCAGAGGGAATCCAAATCCTGAAATTTCCATCACAAATAACTATCTCGAACAAATTGAGCCTGTTTATAACCGACATATCTTTGCATCGTATCCCATCGACAAGATTACATTTTCCCTCGATAATGCAATTTCTGAACGTTTTCAGAATATGTTACTGGGACATCGGTGATTAGTGTTACCAGCAATAAAGTTTCTAGCTAATTGAATTTACCGGCAGGCAATAAGCGTCAAAAGTGAACAGCCTGCTTCGCAATTAGGGAAATACGGATTTTACGACATTAAACTTGTTCTCGTCGGAGCAGATGCAATTTTCTCGTGCAAAATATTGTGCTAGCCATATATAGAATGTTTCAAAATTATAATATCAATCCAATAAAGGGGACAACCGTGATATTAACAAACGGGGAATTTTGTACATTTTCTACATTTCACAATAAAGAAATTATTATTATTAGAATTATTAGAATACATTGTATATATATTCAGACTATATATTGTTTAATTAATTTATGTCATTTCCTACTAAATTGTGGATAGTGTTTGAAACTTTTCTGAAATCCGACGGATACAGTTGGTCTAATGTGGATAAAAAATTCTAATATTAATATGTATTAGGATTATGAGATCAAGTTATAATCAAGTTTGTGATTTTTGCATTTTAAAGAATTAAAATGATTCTTATCAATTACGAGTTTTAATACATTTATCAGAAATTTAATCCTCAAATATTATCATCAAATTAAAATAAATATTGTAATTTTTGTTGGATTACTAAAATTTCAGGTTGACAGAGATTAAAGTTATAAAAATGTTATAGTTCCACCAATCTAATGATATCAATTAAGAACAATATTTTGATAGAAATTTTACCAATGAACAAAGGAAATACTTTAAAAGATTTCATTATATATAGACAAGAATATGGTAAAGTAAAAGAATATAGTGCAACAGATGAAAACTATTAACATAGTTGTGTAATATTAGCTAAAATTTTTTGAAATATTTTGGAAAGTAAAGGGAAAAAATCCATCTATCTAAAAATTTTTGCACACCGCTACATCCCTGCCACTCAACAATTAATTAATGCTACTTAACAAGCTCTCTGAGAAGTTTTATTCACAGTGTCGTCGTGATCGTCGCGCGTGTAATCTCCTTCACTTGGACCGTGTAATAAATTTTATCCGATACGAAAGGAGTTCGGCATATTATAGCACGGAATATGATCATCATTTTCCTCTGAGCACTAACGCGGGAGCCTCTGTGATTGGCAAGCATGATTATTATTACAGGAGGATCGAGATTAAGAAAGACGTTGGTTCCTGATAGACCCTCGTCTATCGGAGCCACTCTATTTTTGGCATCGAGACCAGACATCTGCTCAAAATGTGCACTCTCGGAAGTGCGATCGAGAAATAGGAAGTAAGAAACTAGACGGAAATGTCATTCACCTTAAATTCATCAATATCCAGGATTAAAGTGACTAAAATAGCCTTCTTTTTCTTCAAAGAGATAGTGAAGATTAAAAATTACGAGGGTGAGATTGACTGATTAAATGGGGTAATACGAGAAATAGAGTTATTTAGGATGTGAGAAGATTGGTGAATAGTCATTCAGATGGGATTCATTCATCTTGGATAAAATTCATTACGGGACAGTGAATTTTATTGCATGAGAAAGATCAAACTCATATTTTTGTGAACATGACTGAAGAAATAGAATCCAAGTAGATTCTTGTTTTATCTACTAAGTATTTATGACTAGATTTATGACTAGATCTTGAATTTGTGATAAATGTATTAATAATTAGAAACAATATTTAATTATCCCCTTTTGAAATAAACGAAATAACATAAAATCGTGTTCTACTTAAAAACATAAAACAGCATAAAAGTCTAATAAGGAAATCGAGCTAAAAACTTGTTAATCAAAGATAGAAGAGAATATCTCAAAAAAGAGAAACAAAGAATGGATACGTCGACGCGACAGAGGCTAAAAGAAAATTGGTTGGCCCTTAAAAGCTCGTGAGAGCCGACGAAAATGCAAAACACGTCGATTGGATCATAAATCTTGCGCGTTCGATTCTACATCACGGGAAGACACGGGGATCTCCCTCCTGAATCTGCAGCACGCTAGAAGTTCAAGTTAATCCGTCACGTGCATTAGACGGTATAATCCATCAAGTAGCGACTTGCAGGTAACCGTGAAAACGAAAATGGGGCTTGTAATGCAATTACATGGCGCCCGGGTTCTACCATCGTCCTTGTCCCTCCATTTTCGGCCCTCCATTTTAGGCGATGCTGGAGGAAGGACTCTCAACTAAATGCGAACGAGCCTATTGTTTGGATTATGTCTTGCTGTTTTTCTCCATCAGCTATCTGTCTAATTCACGTATTTTTTAGGGAAGTTTATCGAACTTCTTAAATTTGTAGAATCGTTACACTTGTAAAAGTTATACGTTATTCATTTGTCGAGTCCCATTGTATTATCATTCAATTAAGAAAGAAAAAGAGAGATCTTATTGAACATTATGAAAAAAAAAGATAGTGAGTTATGCAATTTGTTATGCATATTAATTTTTGTAACTACATCTGAAAATTTATTATTATCGTCTCTTTATGAATACTGAATAGTGGAAGTTAGAACTATGCCTGAGTAAAAAGAAAAGTTCACAAAAAATGAGTTTATTGAACTATCTTTTTCTTTAAATCAAAACTTGAACTTCACTTACTTGGACTCTAGCTTCCGTCAGGTCGATTTTCATGGCGATTTCTTCTCTAGTGTAGATATCCGGATAGTGAGTCTCCTGGAAGGCACGCTCCAATTCTTTAAGCTGAGCTGATGTGAACGTTGTTCGTATCCGACGTTGTTTTCTCTTTTCCGCTAAACCGTCGTGTCCTGAGTAAGCCTTATATCCTAGTCCACCTAAAAAAGAAAAAAAGAATTGTAGAAATTAGGAATCAATGAAAAGCACAAGAATTAAATTTAATAGTTTTCAATTTTAGCTACGGACAACATAGATAGAAAATCTTGCAAGCAAATTCATAATTTGTAATTTTAATTGCGCAATTACAAAACCTTCAATTTCTATCTATCTTTTCTTATACTTTCACAAAACTCTACAACCAAATCCGTAGTTGATAGAATCTGAAGAAGATAAGAAGCAACTAGAGATGAACTTGTATCGTTATAAAACTTTCACCCAACATCAACTCTCTCTACATCAATTTATCTTAACTTTCTCCTAATGAGTAGTCAAAGACAGAACTTCCACAGGCTACCTCTAAATCAGCCACACATTGGCAAGACTGATAAGACATGAAGAAAATCAGTGGTGGTCGAATTACCTGGTCCAAGGAGCAACGTTTGCACGAGAACTCCGTGTCTCTGTGCAGGTGGTAGCTTATAGATTATAGAATATAGGTGAGGATGGCTGGGATAGCGAGCAAGGTAACCATAGCAATGAGTGACTGAAGGGAGAGAGGGCGAGAAAGAGTAAGCCAGGGGTAAAGGAAACGTGGGATGAGACAGTGCAGAGTCGGGTACAAGAGGAACGAGCCGGTAAATGAGGGAGAGACGAAGAAAGAGTGAGAAAGAGAGACAAGAATACGAAAGAGGAAGAAATAGAGAGTGAGAGAGAGAAAGAGCAGACGAGACACATCCATTGATTTTCAGTGCCATCTTGTCGTCGTTTCCAGAGGAAATACCACGGTGGTAGGATCGAGCATGGAGACCATCCCATGGCAATTTTCCCCTGAGAAAAGAAGGGCTCTTCTCTCTTTTTTTTTCTGGTGAAAAGACTGTCTTCTTCGCCCCGCCCAAGCATGGTGGTCTTCTTATACCTCTAATTGATTGTCCATTTGTAAATTCTATCGTTTTAATGATGTACTGTGTTTGATCTGTTCGCTGGTCCTTGAGGAATGCGAGTTTGCTGGATCGAAGAGGGAATTTCATTAAATTCCATTATAATTAGACAGATTTCTTTCCTTTGGAGTCTTCTGATTTTTTCCATTCTTGTCCACTGACCTCTGATTTATTGGCCATTTGTAAATTCCATTTAATGATGGAAATTACAATTAAAATTCATTATATTTTATTTAGCGTTTAATTTGTTCACTGGTGCTCGAAGAATGCGAATTTGCTGGATCGAAGAGGGAATTTCATTAAATTCCATTACAGTTAGACAGTTTCTTTTTCTATGGAATCCTTTGATTTCGTGTCTTATTCTATATTTATTGAAACTTGGACAATTATAGAGATAAGCAGAAAAATATTACAGTAACACGAGATAATTGTGCACAAAGAAAGCGAAGAAAATTTTAAATTTCTGAGTAGATAGGGAGATTTGAATTTTTTATTCTCTCGCTGAAGACACCAGATTAGAGATTTATGAAGTTTTTTATATTTTTTGAACAGTGAAAGAGCTATCTCTAGGATAAACAAATTATCTAAAAATAATGAATTTAGTAGATCTGGTCCAGAATTGAACATGGAATACAGATAGTAACCTCATAAAAATAATTTTAAATTGAAAAATTATAGTATACTGCAGACGTATGAACTTATAAGATAGAACCAAATTTTCCTTTTTACAAAAATCCACAAACAGATATTCTCCAATACCTATCTTCTTATCATACAAATATTATACATTTTTAAATATTGTGCAAATTTCATAAACTAAATCAGCAAAAACGAGAACTATTAAAATCTCAAATAATTTTGAGTATGATTAAAACAAAAACTAAACTAACATTATATAGACTAAAATTATTAGGACAAGAGCAAAATAAAAAAAAAAAAACAAAACACATTTTTCATCCAGAAAAGAGTCATCACAATCCATTCCCCTCTTCCCGAAGGAGCACGTAAGGATACTCACTCTGCAGATTAATGGCCGACGGGAAGATTGAGGCGGCGTGTCGGTGGACCTCTTGAGATCTGGCGGCCATTACTGAGCAGGGAGTTGCGTGGGCCCCGTGGTGCGCGTGGGCATGAGAGTGGGTGGTGTGATGGGCCCCCAACGGCGTGGTGCTACCAGTACTCGTAGTTCCCGCGTTGCCTGGATAGCCAGCAGCCCTCGCAGCCGTGTACCGATAAGCAGCCTGACTCATTTGTGAACAAGAACTCAGGTCCCCGTATCCACATTGCATTTCACTGGCGGCCAAAGCACAGCTAGATGCCTCGAAACCAGCGGCCGCGGCGGCAGCCGCCTGATTCAAGTATGAATAATCCATCGTTCACTCGTAACACTGAAATTGGGGGTGAAAAGTGCAGTTCCTTCGTCACAGGCGTGTCTGACTTCGTCAGAGGCGGATAGACGAGGGCACTGAGCGCGGAGCACCTCGACAGTTCATCGAAACAGTTTATCTCTTCTCCATCTTGGCTCTTCACTCGATCAGAATTCCATAAACTGAATCCTTCTCGTTGTTGGTAGATCTTGGATGATTCCAGTAGAACCAAGACGTTGGTAGATTTGATTCACGTTCTTAAGTTGAGTGGACCAGATGGTTCTTGCAAATACTGGAATATACTGATACGATGAATCTGTACGCAGATCGGATTAAAAAGAAGACGAGAGTGTCGCGAGAATAGAAGCTGAGGGCCCCGGCCGGGCCCTAGCCGCGGCGTTGCTTCCGGCCCTAGCAGCGGCGTGCTTCTTCGTCGTCGGAAATCTCGGCTAATCGGAAGCCAGAATGTAGAAGCAGCGGTGGCAACGTCACGTAATTCTCTCTGGTCGCGGACAAGAGCTAAGGGACGCGGGCGGCAGCCGGTTGCTCGATAGCGGCTTATGACGCGTAATCGGATCAGCGATATCAAATTATTGCGATTATAGCCGCGGATAGAAAGAAGTTTTTCGGCCCGCTTAAGAGAGCCCGAGACGACCGACTGGTGGGTCTCCTCAAAATCAAATGATAAGCTTAATTCAATAACCGACGGAGAGGGTGCACGCCGGGGGTGTGGCCGTCGGTCGGTTACGGTGAAACGGGTTTGGTCACTGTCTAACGTTCTCTGAACGCTGATTCGTCGATCCCAGTTGCCACCCCCGGGGTGGATGAGAGAACAGTTGCCGCCCTCTGAGCTTCTGTATTCATCCCCGTACGTGTGCCACCCCCAGGTTCGTCGGGCGACCTCTCCCTAACAACCATCAGCCCGAATGAACGCTATCATTTGATGATGCCAGCCCTCTCTCCTGGTCTCGATTTTACGATCGATTCCGGAACAGGCCGTTTCCGCTGGACACCAGAGCCACGCTTTTCTTCCAGTCACCGTACGTATGTTTACGCCTAACTCCTTCTGCGCCTATCTTCGTGCAATGTGTGCTTCGCTTCCTGGATGATAATGCTGATACTGATCCTCTTCAGGTAAATCGAAAATGATGGATTACCGTGGTGAATGTTGAGTACGCTGTAAATGTAAGGCATTTCTTCGTTGAAACTACTGATTTTTACAGATTTTTTAAAAATTTAGTTTTAGATAAATCTCTTAATAAAATTTATACATGATATTTCTTTATAAAAAATATGTAGAAATTGAAAAATAGTACATGTGTGCATAAAAATTTTGTTTGTAATTAAATTTTGGTTTGGTATATATACATAAGTCTGTAATTAATGTAAAAATTCTCAATCTAGCAAATGATTATTAAACAATAGTATAATAATATCATGGCTGATGAAGTCGCAATAATATTCTCGTGAAATTGTCATGTTTTTACATCTCGTAGCTATTTACATATGACAGTAGAAACATGAAATATCGTGCAAATAAAGGCCAAGGGAGTAGAGAGCATGAAATATGATTTATCTGCAGATAGAGAAATTACATGACTAAACATGACACGGGAACGACCTTAGATAGGTGGTAGGAACCTGTGCGACACTTGTTTCGCACTTGTTCTCACGAAAGGGCCACGATGAGAGCAGTCCTGGTGCGCGACCCTCTTCCCCGTGTCTCGTCCCGGGGGAATTCTCTTCCAGGGTATGCGAACGTAGTATGCTGTGCAACACCAAATCGTCCATAGTGTGTATGCTGAGAATACACAGGAACGGGCGCAACCATTGGCGTACAATTCCCCATAACTTGTCCATGCCGCTGCAAGGGGACTCGAACCTGCATGAACGATTATAACATCAGGATTAAAATTGATACTTACAAAAAATTATACAAGAGATTACGTTCCCTCAAAAGATATAACATTTTTCTGTTACTGTGCTTGTATTGCAAAGGTGCAACATTATCTTCTTAGTTAATTATTAAATTTTCGCAATATTTTTTTGTAATTAATTTAAGAGCAAATTTAAAAGTAGTCAAACATTTGCATGACATTTAAATATTAAATTATTTAGAAGCTATATAAATTTTATAGGTTATGTAATAAAAACTATTCCATTTATGATTATTCAGGTTCAACAAGTGCAAATAAGTTGTGATCTATAAAAATTTAATAATAAATAGAAAGAAATTAATAAATTGATCTATCTGTGAGAAAGTATCACTGACTAAGAGAACCAGTTTAGTGTCTACGTCAATGGGAACATAGCAAACATGCGTGTGCGCGTAAACACCCGCACACTCGCATAAACGGCGTTTCGTCTTTTATATCAATAGAATGAGAGAACGTCAACCCCCCTTAGTGGTCTGATACATATGTCCTTGATTTGTCGGGAGAATAATATTCTCCTAGAAAGTTGATTAAATATTGGTTAGTGATCTCAGATGTCCTTTACCCCTCTACACTTCCATTCCATCGACTCGAAAACCCATAGGAATACAATTTAATATTTTCCACGTCCCAGAGATAGCCGACTATTTTTCTTCCGATCTACACGTGGTTCTCTCACTATCACCTTGTATTTTCGCGAATGAAACCGCTTTTATGTAGGCATATTTATCCTCTTATTCTCGAAAAATATTCGGCAAGAAGCAATAAAATTCGCTTTAAACTTCGCCAATATCATCACGTAGTCGACTCTCGTTACATAATGAAATCTCAAAATGTGTTATACAGTGCGTATAATATATTCATAAAAGGTTCCTATAGGTATTCGAATACTTTGTAAGCTACTGTACAATTATATTATTATAATTCAAATGTAATTATCGCGAAATGTGCCGGTAATTCTGATAAAATGAAGCATAAAATATATTCACGTGATAATTTACGTTAGCTTACTGTAAAACGTTACCGCGATCTGATTAAAATGGCGCACGATAATATATATTTGCCATACATTTGCCTTTTATACAATGTTATTGCAAGCTAATCCTATTTATCGCACATTAAATTTACAATTATCTTCTGCATGGTGATGCGTTAGTTTAATCTTCACAGAAATTAAATTAAAAAATCCAAATACAAAGATCTTTATATCCATAAAATAATTCCTACAATATTTTTCGAAATAATAACGTATAACGTATATCGAAATATGGAAAACGAACAAACTCATTATAATAGAATGTATTATAATAAAATATAGAATAGAACTTACCAAATTTATTTAATGGATAAACATTTTCCTGTTGTCTGTACTTGATAAACATTATGTTAATAAAAAATAATATATTTTTATGCTTGATGTGCAACACGGTTGTAACTGTCACCGGAAATACTAACTTGATACCAGTGCACTTTTTTTTTTGTTGAGTTGTCAACAGGTGGCACGTTGAATGTTAGAAATAGAAATTTCAAAATTAATGAAATTCAAATTTCATTCAAATTGTTTTATATATATTTTGATGACTTATGACATTTAATTTGTTAACATTAAATAGAAATTAAATTTAATTATTGCAATTAAAAAGTTTGATGAGTAGATAGCGCCACCATATCCGGTGAAACTATTCTATTGAAAAGTGCGGGAATGAGTGCGGGAATAAGTGCAAGGAATGAGTTAACGGAGACAGAAAAATAGTTTCAAATTACGAGTTTATTGTGAAAATAGTGTGGATTATTCATAGAATTGTTCAGTTGACAGCATATCTAAATATGTAAAGTAAGCTTCGACATTTTTTCCTATTAAATCTTGTTAAGAACGAAAATACGTGAGTTCAATGTTCCAAAAAATATTCCGATATTGTAGAAAAGCATTAAATAATATGTAAACCTTAATAATAGCATTAAATAATATGTAAACCTATAATTCGTAGGAATATAATTTTAAATGAAAAAGGAAACCTTTAGAAAATCATAGCACTATAACTTTAATGAAAATTTTTATATTTTTGTACAAGAATTAAACTAAGTGATAGTTAAACATTCAGTTTTAATGTTAGAAATTATACAAATCAAACGTCAGTATCAAAAACATACTTGAATAATGTGCAATAACGGAACATTTACATTAAATTTGATTTGCATATAATATAAAGTCGCAAAACTATTATTCCTTATATGTTACCTATACATTATTAATCTCTTATAACAGACACAGTTTTATTAAAATAAAATATAGTTTAAATAAATTTCCAAAACAGTCCTTGCTTATCTGTATAAATCTTACATTTCTCTAAATATGTGTAATAAATCTGTAACAATAAAAAAACATTTAATTATATAAATTAAACAATAATAAATAATTATATATAAAATTGTAAATAACAAACTGCACGCACCTTATTGAAATATAAGAATAAAGACGTAAGTTTGCATATGTTTCAATTAATATGAGAATTTTACTTCTGATAGAAAATTGCTTGATTCCTAGTACAAGTATCATGTTCTGAAATAAAAAAAAAAAAAAAAAATGAATATGGTAGGAATTAGAACAAAATATTTTGTTAAAAATTAGTAACTTTGTGTTAAAAAAATTATCAACTGTAAAATATTACCATGATTCGATCGACAATGAAGTTCCTCCCAATTTGTCCCACTTTGAGTCGACTTTTTCACATTATCTGTCTGTTGTAAATTAGTAATAATCGTGTCATTATCAATTTTTCTTATTTCCATTACGTTCTGTTTCGGAACATGAACTTCGCATATATTCGAGGAATCTTCGACACATTTAACTTCTGGTCGGTACAAGACTAGTTTCCTAGGGTGCGAGCATTTTTCAAAAGCAATGTTTGAATGAGGCAAATTTTGTTGCTTGATATATACGACTTCGTTCTGTTCGCATGTTGGCACAAAAATAATTTTCTGCGTTGACTCTTGAGGACATGATACCATGTGACAATTAACATTCGGGTCAATTACTTTAATATTATCGGCAGAAGCAACATGCTTGCTGCTTTGTAAATATATAGGAACTTTTTGAGCTTTAGAATCATTTTCAAATGCCAGATATTTAATTGGCTGTTCATTCACTATTACTGCATTTTCGTTACATTGATTTTGGAATCGTTTTTTAATGGGTAAGATTTTCAAATTCTTGATGCCTTTAAGAAAATCAATATTATTTATATCTTCTTGATTGAATTCCTGGTTAGAATTCTGCAATTTTCTTGATTTTTCAATTTGATGTACAATATCATGAGAACATTCTTGCACATTATTCGAATCTTTACATTGATTTGCCATCACATAGCAAACGTGTTGATCATTGTAACATGTTTTATTGTTTTCGCATTTAGGATGTTGCTGGACTCTTTTTGCTAACATCTCACAAATCTGTGATTTCTGATGCTGTGATATACTTATCTCTTTAAATTCTTGATTGCTATAATTTGAATTGTCAAAGCTCTGCGAGCATTGGTATGTTTTATAATTTTCTGGTACTTCCTGGCAATTCTTATGTGTCGTACAATTATTCTTTAATTTCTCATGCTGCGAAGAAACATTCTTTCGTATAATACAGATGTTCGAATTATCAGCCATTTCATCTGTAATTTCATTATTTAAGTACAAACAGTGTCCTACATTTCGTGAATCTTTCTTCGTAAACACCACTGTTTTTTGTACTGAAGGATTTTTCTTATTCACTAAAATGCCATTTACATGAAGATTTTGTGATTGAGATTGGTTCTGTTGTGAAGAATTTTTTACGAAATATATATCATCGTTACGAAGACTTGGTGATTCTATTACACAAGTTTGAAGATTTTCTATATCTGTTGTATCAAATAAAGTATTTACAGTCGTCGACCGTTGCAATCTCTGCGAATTTTCGTTCGATTCTGTTATGAGAGATTGTGAAGTGAAAAGAACGTTCTGCCTCGACGCGGCGTTGAACAGCATCTCCTGGGGCTCTTTATTAATATGCATCGACTCCTGGAATAAATTCAATTGGTTATTATTATTAGTCACAATGTTGTTACATCTTCGCAATATAATAGGGATATGCTTCAAATTCTTCATTTTAATCTGCTGCAGTATCTTTAAGTTTTGTTTCTCTGCGTTATTTTCTAATCCATTACTTAAAACACCTACCGTTTGCGTTCGTCGACTTCTATATTTTTTATGATTATAATTATTCTCGGATTCTGCCTCAGTTTGAACAAATAAGACAGGTTTGCTTTTTTCCTTTATCCTCTCAAATTCGTTTGTTTCAAAATATTTAACAATATTACTGTTAGCGCTGATGGAAGTTGAAGGAGGATTTACTTCCAGAGAAGTATGGTTGCTTAAATTTATTGAGTCATCCTCATTAGATATGTTACTTGTTTTTTGAAGTGTTTCTGCTTCCAGGGAATTCTCAATTCCCATGTCAGAAGCATTTAATGAAGATAAATTAAATAATAAATTTGACGAGGTAATTTCATTTCTTTTGAAATTCGTTTCTGGTATTAAAAACGGTGTATTCTTGTTTTCTATATCCTTTTTGATACCAACACAATGATCTAGATTATCAACAGTTGCAAATATTGAGTCCACGTTTTGATTAGATCCTGAAGGACAAAATGCAGCGTTTGAAGGAAGAAAATTATCAGTAGAAGTACTAGGTGTACTGTAGTTGCTTAAAATATTCCCACGCATTATCGTATCATGTATCAATTTATTTCGAAATGATTCTGCATACATGTATCTTAATTTTTGTTTCACCTTTAATAGTGGATCTGTTGAAGATAAAAAATTAATACTTGAAAGTATGAGAAAAAAATAACGAATTCTAAAAATTATAGTAAATACCAGGTCCAAAACAGTCTGGAAAATTATTTTCCTCGAAGTTTTCTGAAGAAACAATCCTACATAGTTCTTCGTATTTATTGAGTTTATTTAACGCAGAGTTTTGTTCGGAATCATCTATTCTGTTTTCTTCTATTGATCTTTGAGGTATTTCGATATCTTCTTTCTTTTGAGTATCTTTTCTTCTATAAAAAATATTTTACACTAATTTTTAAGTTTTCTTTGAAAGTAATTTTTGACTTCTTTCTTAGATTTATATTTTTAGTTATAGTATACAGATACTACATGTAAAAGAAACACAAAAGACAATATAAATTATCTGAGACTCACCCATCTATTTTACCCAAAATAGGACTTGTTTCAGCATCTGGCTTGAGAATATTTTCCAAACTAAAATCTTTTAACTTTCTGTTACTATTTTTAGTTGCAGCATCTCTGTGAATTAAAAAATACATTTTTTAAGAAAGGATAAAAATAATTTTTTATAGTTTTCCAACTTACTCTGATTTCGAATGATAACCATCTAGTAGTTTCAATACATTTCCATGTAGTCGCGCGTTATTTAGATCATTCAATGCTACTTCAGTTTGTGCTGCAAATAATTATATTACTCAAATATTATATTATTTTTATGGTAAAAAAAACATAGTTATACTTTGTGGGACGTACCTCTTCGTATTTCTTTCCCGGTTGCACCGTTTCTATATATTCCAGCCAACTAAAATAATAAAAAAAATTATAATTTTTATTAATTTTATAATAATTAATTAATTTTTATAATATTAATAGTAATGATAGCAATTGTTATTTACAGGTTGCGGAAGAATTCTATTGGATATCTTTTTTGAATTTTGTGCCTCGTCCAATTTTTCATTGATCTTCGTTTTTTTATCCTGGAATAGATTTATTTCAAAGAATGGATGCAAAGGTGAAAGAATGAAGATAAATTTATTTTTAAAATATACATATTCCTCCCGTATGTCTGCGAAATGTTGCAAAAGTTTAATGAAACTACACTGCCATATTTTGCATGTTATCTGGTTCTGCTAAAAAATTATGCATGCATTATCACAATTTCAGAAATTCTTAATCCCAAAAATCATTTCTAATAAAAGTATTTCAATTAAAAAATTATGTCTGTTAAACGTACAATAATTGTATACATATGCTTCAAAATTAATTCTTATTAAACAAATTACAAAATTAATATTTGTTAAAATAATTATTATAATACGATAAAACGTATTATATTGTGCGGGATGTATATTATATTTTCGTTATATTTTTATTATATTTTCATTATATTTGTAATATAATGAAATTAGGAAATAGATAGTTAATATTAAAACAATTTATTCAATTTATCGATATAATTTCACGAGATGCACATTTAATTGTTTATATATATACATATATATTTTATTTTTTTTATAAAATCTATGAAACTCTCTTGACAAATTGTCAAATATTACTTAACATTTACAACAAAAGTAGTATAGAGATATTGAAATAACACATAAGACTTTCAATGATATATGTCAATCATCTAACATAACCAAAATTGTCAGACAATTTGAAATATATTCTTATCATATATAATACAATATTACATATTCTTCTACATTTGATTTAAAGAAATAAACTATTGAAGGAAGAACATACAATCTCCACGATCAGAAAGTAATAATGATCAGCATGGACATATATGTATATTCATACCTTCTTCAATTTGAATATTTTCTGATCTGTCAGGTCCCTTTTACGTTTCTTCCTCTTTGTTCGTACTTTCTGTTTTTCATGGACAATTTTTACTCCGTCGACAGACGTGTCACTGGCCACGATGTTACATGTTAGTTTGCCCATTTTACAACACAGACAAGAAGAATCGTGCCTTTTGAACGAGATCGACGAATGTCTCAATGTTTGTTTACATCTTGTTACCCCACTTCTTACGCTAACCCAAGTATCGTATCAATGACAATATCGACGTACTTTGTCTTATTCCATCGATAATAATGCTACTCTACGATTGACTGAACGACATAGAATATTATCGACCAAGAAATATTGTTGAATATTAATCGAAGATTGCGTTAATATGACTAAAATTTATTGATTAATATGATAAAAAAACGGAAGTGGTAGGTGTGTCGTTATATGAGACTCTGTATTGTATATTTTAAAATATATATGTGTAAATCTAAAAGAAACAGAATGTTTGGAAATAGATGGAAGTTATTTTGATAAGACAAATTCATTAAATTAATTAAAACATCGTTCATTAAGTTTGTAACTTGGTCAGGGATTAAAAAATAAAATAACATTCGTCTTTATATTGTCATCGTGCTTTCATCGTTCATAGCCATTGATTTCATTTAATTCACGTACGATTTAAATTTTAACTTATAATCATTTATAAAATTCATTCCTTTTTATACATTTATTTGAAAGTCTGTACAGATTATAACATGGGGAATTTGTAAGTATTAGGGGGCGCCATTAAATTCGAAAAGTCACTACGGAAGTCAAATGGACATCATTAGTAATTAATAATAAAATTTAATAACATGTTTTCATGAAGATATCTTAATAGTTGGCTAAAAAATAATTTTAATATAAATATTAATAAATAAATAAATACAAATAAATCTTTCTGTGGTAAAATATGATTTATTTTTATGTGTATTGAAATACTCAATTGACTATTTCTTTTGGCGCCATATTAGTTCCGTTAGGATTCAATTTGGAGGCAAACGCACCGCGGAAGCTTATACTATTTTTCTTTCAATTAGTGGTTTTATGAGTGTTAATAGTACTAATATTCAGTGTAGTATGAGTATTTATGTGTTTTAAGACTAGAGTGATGATATTTGGACGTGTTGATGTCATAGTTGCGAAAAATTTACATTAGAAATTTGAAGGGTGAGTGCATTCAAATAAGCCGTTTACTGTTCATGCTACTTTAAGATTTTTTAGAAATTTCCTATTATACTAGACATAGCTTTACGATATGATACAATTTAAGATATGGAGCAATTTCGATATATTTGTTATATTTGTTATATAATAATTTTATAAATTTTATAAAGAAATAGAATCCAGTATTAATTCTATTTATAGCTTTAGGAAGTCTTTTCGTGCTAATGTTTCCGTAGTGTAGTGGTTATCACGTGTGCTTCACACGCACAAGGTCCCCGGTTCGATCCCGGGCGGAAACAAGTGGTGGGGTTTTTTCTTTTAGAGATATATTCTTTTTCTACTTTTTTTGCTCTAATATTTCAGAAATATTAGTCATTCTTGAATGCAGGTAGAAAAAGATATTTTATTTAATATAAATTAATTTTCACTAAATACGCCATCTAATGATTGGATAGTTTTTTAGTCAGTTATTTAGAAAGCTACATTATCGACATATACTGAATAGTATTCTACATTATCTTCCACCGTTATTATTAACTTAAATGCATATGCATCTGTAGATAAGTGTATCTGCATACCACCAATGATATCACAGAACAGATATCATATGAGATTTTGTTATTCACGTTCTGAAATATCGACTTTGTAAAAAATCAGTTTCTATTTTTAAATTTTTATATTCGAGTTTTATTATTAATTAACATTAACATCATTAACTAAAGAACAGACAGGACTAATTTTATGATAATATTCTTGTGTTCAATATTATCATAAAAAATATATGTTTAGTTAAGTGACACTCTCTGTGAGAACAAATTATAATATTTTATGTTTCGTTACAGATTTGTTCCAGTTGGATTCAACAATTTCTCTTCGGACTTCATCGTACCGTGAGTCGCATGCATTTTTGTTCCTCCGGTCACTCAATCATGTCGTAGGACGAAAGGTTCGAATCGACACGGGTGACTGGTTGTATTACGTAGAATTTTTGACGAGCATAGTGGCCACGGGTATTTATTATACCCGTGAGTAATAACATTCTCCTGTCACTGTTTTATTTATTAGTTCAGGATAGGTTTTCTTGCACAGCGGTTCTGAATATTGATAACGTATTAATAATTAGTTACACAACATTATAATATAATTGATGTGAATAATATAATGCTATTAATTGGTACATGTATCTGTGATAGAAAATACACACAAAGTACGTCACAATTGTTTGAAAAATCAAAGTATATCCGATATTGTTGCTTGCAAATATAGTAAAATATGAATATTCGAATAAATGGAGATATTACAATGTTTGAATATTATTTTGTAGTGAAGAAGTCGGATACCCTCCGACTTTGTTACTATGCATATTGCAATTTTAATTAAAATGATTAAAACTATAATGATAACATGTATCACAGTAATAGTAATTAAATATTTTTATCTCGTGTTTTATGATAATTATTCAATATAATTTCAATAGAGTTTGAAACGTGAAATTTTCTAAGTTCAGTTTTATCCGCCTAGATTTCATGTGCAAGAAAACACTTCGCGTCAGGCAGATTTCAGAATCAAAGCAATAATTTTGTATGTTACTTTCTTGTTCTTCAAGATGTGCTTTGATGAAGGAATCGCCCGAGAGAATTTCTATCAATATTTCATGCAGAATCTGTTTCATTTCTAATTAATCTGTTACTTTTTTCAACGCAGTGTTTCAGTAATTTTTCTATATTTCTGAGAGAAGTAAATTATAAAATAGAGTCATTGAAAATTAAAATTAAACGAGAAAATTGTTAGGTCGTTAGACACAGAATATATTAATCATCTCTTTAGCTCAGGATTTTCAGGTTTAACCCTTTCCATGTTCGTTGCCAGGATCCCATTCACGTGCCCAGGTGCTACTTGGGTGGGAGATAGGCAATGAGCATGATGACCATAGTCTATAAGCTTAATAATTTCTCAGCGACTGACGATGGGTTAGTGTATCGTGCACGACGTATTTTCTACATTGTGTGTGTGTGATTAGGCTGTAGAATTGCGTCGTTTTTCCTATTATTTCAATAACAATGTATAATAGTAAAACGTATATAAACAACAGTACTAAATTTTGTACCGTTTACTTCAATAATATCATTTCTTTGGACTATGTACGCGTGATGTATATTCAATTAATATTTAATTGATTAATAACATTTTATGAGTAAAATTGAAACTAATATATATCCAACTCAAATGACAGTCTAGAATCGTTTTTTGTCACATTTGACGCAATGGTCGCTAGCCGTCGTCAGCCGATTTCAGTAAAATGGTACGTAAAATTAGAGTGTGAATGTGTGTGTGTGCTGACACTCGGGTGTCGGAGGCGTCCCGGGACGTCCTCTCTAGATTAGGATGTATGCGCCCGGGTGTATGCGTGAGAACCGTGGAGAGAGTGTGTTGGTGTGCCTGTTCTTTTGTCATCTTTTAAATATAGGGCCCCTGAATAGGATAGGTAGTTTACTTTCTGGTGTGCCTGCGTAATTATAAGTAGGTAGGGCCGGGCAGGTTGGCACAGTCTCTGGTCGCGTGTTCCCCTTCTCGCGTGTCCAACCTGTTTCAGGAAATCGAATTTGAAAAATCGACAGTGAAATTGGTACAAATGGACCATGCCACTTGTTTCTGGTTTTACTCGTCGATTTTTCGAATTTAGTATCGCGGTCGCGGTCGCGGATAGGTCGCGAGTAGGTCCCGAAACGAACGTTTATATAGGTATTGCTCGAGCAAGCACGTGCGAACGGGCAACGATCATTGTGATCGATGGTCGTCCATGTGCAATTGAGTCAGCTTCTGCAGTTTATCTTTTTATACATATATATTGTATTTAGAAAGACTCGAGCCTAGACTTAAGTTTCAGCGGGCATGGCGCCCTAAGAAAAGAAGAGGCCCGGCAAACTGCCATAGAAGAGGGCTGCAACGAATGGCTTATCATCCTCTGGATGGGAAATCCGTCCAGAGCATGGAAAGTCATTTTTGTTATTACTTTGTCACTATGCTCGCTTTCAGTAGTTGTTAGTAGCAGTAGCTTTCATTTTTGGCCGATGCACATTCCGGCCTGGCTCCACATTGGGCAAATTTCGGTTCTTTCATTAGTGTTGCGAGTGATTAATGTCGGTTTGCATTGTCGAGTTGCGACATGGTTCTCGCGTTTTGAATTAGAGTTGCGGTGAAACGTCAGTCGTGTTTGTTTTGGCATTGCAAATTTTCGAATCGCGAAAATGTTTTAGAATGTTCAGATTATTGAGTATTTATGTTTTATTCGAGTTTTATGTACAATTATTTAGTTTATCGTAATTGTTCAATTTTATTCAATTATTTAGAGTGTTTCGTTCATTCAATTTTGTATTTTGAGTTCAATTAATTTTGTACCGTTGCCGTCTTTTTAATCGTACAATAAATATTTTTTATTAAATTCATTTTGTGAATTAGCGTTGCGTTTCGATGAATAATCGCGATTCTTTAAATAGCGTTGCGCCTGTTCGAAATGTTCTTCAGCAAGAAGATAGTTCCTGGATATGTTCCGAAATCTCTTAAAGAATTGTTCAAATTACTAATTCAATATCTAAATAAGTTTGTTACAGATTCATTAACATGGAGGAAGTTCCAAATAAATGCTGAATGATAGAATAACAAGAACGAAAGAAAATAGCTGAAGGAAAAGAAACTACTGGTAATTAATTACATTTGAATCTTATCAAATATTTTATGATTTGTTATACGCATGTAAAAGTAATATTTTCATTCTTCACGCGTTCTTCTTAATTAAACCGTGTTCCCATGAACAAGTTGATTCAATTTCAACGACAAAGCGAGCTAGAAAGCATAACAAAACGGGTCTCGCTTGCGCCGATTTCTATAAACAATCACGAAAGTATCGAACAATGCTTCATGAAAATCAGCACGAAAATACGCACTCTCTAAACTATATACTTCTCACGACGAAATCCCACAACTATCA